GCCGCTAATATTGCATATGTTTTATTCCCGTCTTGAATATGTATATATGTATATAATATATTTTTTTCTTTTTCCTTTTTTTTTTTTCTTTTTACTTTTTTTTTTTCTTTTTCTCTTTTTTTTTCTTTTCTTTTTTTTTTCTTTCTTTTCCTTTTTTTTATTTTCTTTTCCTTATTCTTTTCCAATTCCTTTTCCATTTTTATTTTTCTTCTTATTTTTCAGTTCGTGCCAAGATAGAAGTTTAGTTTTGCGATAAACAATTTTTGAATTTTCGTATTTTTGTTATAGGCTTTCCTCGAGGCGTTTGGCTTTGGCTTCGGATGGGCTGGTGATCGGAGTCTCGGCTTGGGTTCCGAAGGAGGCCTCGCAGATTTTTCTTATGATTTCGAGGAATAGCATTTCATGTGCGTGTGCGTAAGAGGGCGTGTGCGTGTACATGGCTATATGTGTGTGTATATATGTATATATATTGTTTATTTATTTATTTATATACACATACAAATCAACACACGAACACGTACACTAACAGACATACACGCACACGGCGCAACGCAACACACGCACACACACATACGCCACACGCACTACGCACACGCACACGCACACGGCACACACACACACACACACACACCACACAGTCTCACACGACACACACACACACAACACACACACACAACACACCACACACAACACACACACACACACACAACACAACACAATCTATGTATCATAAACATACATAGAGATATATAGAGAGAACATGTACACACACCACAAAAAAAACATAGGAATTGACCCAAGTGTTTCCATACGCCCCCCCCCCCCGCCCCCCCCCCCCCAGCGTTTACAGCCTGTCACAGCGTGTTCTTCAAGTGTCGAGTAAATTTCCGTCCGTCGGGGCTGTTTGCTGCCACTGCCGTTGGTGACATCACCTCCTCGCTCGCGTTGGCTCTTCGTCTCTCCACGCCGCCGCCCCGCCGCCGCCCGGGCCCCCGCCGGCTCCACCCACCGCCAGCCAACCGTCAGCGCCACCACCACCACTTCCCGCCGCGCTCCACCAACCGCCGATCCACACCGCCCCGCACCGTCAGCGCCGAACCGACCACACTTACCTCTGCCGCCGCTCCACCAACCGCCCGCCAACCGTCAGCGCCACACCACCACTTCCTCTTGCGCGCTCCACATGTACGCCGCCATCCGTCAGCGCCACCACCAATCTCGCTTCCTCTGCCGCCGCTCCACCACCGCCGCCACCGTCAGCGCCACCACCACCGCTTCCTCTGCCGCCGCTCCACCACCGCCGCCACCGTCAGCGCCACCAACACCAACTCCTCTGCCGGCGCTCCAACACCGCCGCCCACCGTCAGCGCCACCACCACCCGCTTCCTCTGCCGCGCTCCATCACCGCCGCCACCGTCAGCGCCACCAACACGCTTCCTCTGCCGCCGCTTCAAGCGCCCACCACCACCGCTTCCTCTGCCGGCGCTCCAACCCGGCCGCACACCGTCAAGCGCCACCACCCACCGCTTCCTCTGCCCGCCGCTCCATCAACCGGCCAGCCACGTCAACGCACACCAACCACCAGCCGCCACCACCGCCGCCATCCAGCGCCACCACCACACACTATCCTCCCGGCGCTCCAACCACCGCCCAACCGTCAGCGCCACCACCACCACTTCCTCTGCCGGCGCTCCACCACCGCCGCCACCGTCAGCGCCACCGTCAGCGTCAGCGGCCACCCACCACCGCTCCACCACCGCCGCCACCGTCCTCTCGCCGCCGCTCCACACCGCGCCACCGTCCGCCACAACCCACCACTCTCCTCTGCCGGCGCTCCACCACCGCCGCCACCGTCAGCGCCACCACCACCGCTTCCTCTGCCGCCGCTCCACCACCACCACCGCCGCTCCACCACCACCGCCGCCACCGTCACCATCTCCACCGCCACGTGTCGCCACCGTCCACTTCCTCTGGCGCCTTCCACCACCGCCGCTCTACCTCCGCCGCCAACCGTCTGGCGCCACCGCCTCTACGCCCCGCCGTCAGCGCCACCGCTACCGCCGCGTGCCTCCTTGTCGAATGGGCCGAGAGGAGGGGGGGGGCGAATATTGGCTTGAGCTGGCTTACTTTTCCTTCTTGATTCCTCAGTGGCTTGGTCTTTTTCTTTACTCTCTCCCCCCTTTTCCTGTTTTTCCTCCTCCTATCTCTCCCTTTTTACCCTCACCCTCTCCACTCACTCTCTTCCCTTTTTTCTGCCTCCCCTTCCCTCCCTCCCTCCCTCCCTCCCCCTCCCTTCCTTCCTTCTCCCTTTTCCCCTCTCTCTTTTCCTCCTTTTTTCGTCCTCTTTGCCCTCTTTGCATCTTGTTCGTACCTGTGAATCATTATCATGGTTGTTGTTATTATGATTAATTTTTATGATCTACTATTTTTTTTTACTTATAACTTAATTTACTCCTAATCATCATCATTACTTTTTATTACTGGCATTACAATAACAGTAAATATTATTATCTTGTCTCTGCATTGTTGCAAGATATCATCACTTCTCCGTTATTGATGAAGATAAATAAATTGGTTGTTTGAAGAAGAAGAGAGAGAAAGGGGAGAGAAGAGGAAGAGGGAGAAAGAGTGTGTGTGTGTGTGCGTTTGAGAGAGAGCGAGAGAGAGGAGAAGGAGAAAAGAGGTTTTGGGTGTGTGTTTGAGAGAGAGGGAGAGGGAGAAAAAGTGTGTGTGTGAGAGAGAGAGAGAAGAGAGAAGAAGAGAGGAGAGAGAGAAGAGAGAGAGAGAGAAGAGAAGAGGAGAGAGAGAGAGAGAGAGGAAGAGGGAGAGAGAGAGGAGAGAGAGAGAGAGAGAGAGAGAGAGAGAGAGAGAGAACAGAAGGAGGAGAACGATGAGAGGAAGAGAGAGAGAGGACCAAAAGAACGAGAGAGAAAACGAGAAAGAGCTAAAGAACAAAAGAGATAAATAAAGAAGTAAAAAACGAGAAAGAGCGAAAGAGATGAAGATGAGCATGAAAGTGGGCATGAATATGAGTCCGTGGGTGCGTGTTCAACCACAGCAGGTGAGACTGTGGCACCCTTAAGCCTCACTGAAGGGCCAGTAAGGGTGTCAGAGGCGGTGGTTAAGTCTCCCCTTCCCTCTCCCTCTTTCCTTCTTTCGATATTTCTTCCCTTTTCCTTCTTTTTTCTATCGTCTCCTCTTCCTTTGTTGCTTTGTTACTGTTTTTTTCTTTCGCTTTCTCGCTTACTTTCTTTTTTTCTTGTTTTCTCTTTGTTTTTTTTTTTTCTCTCTCACTCTCTCTCTCTCTCTCTCTCTCTCTCTCTCTCTCTCTCTCTTCTCTCTCTCTCTCTCTCTCTCTCTCTCTCTCTCTCTCTCTCTCTCTCTCTTTCTCCTCTTCTCTCTTTCGCACCATCCTTCTTATCCTCCCTCTCCTCCCTCACTCTTTCCTTTCCTCTCCATCCCTTCATCCATTTCCCATCCTCCCTCTCCCTCCCCTCTCCTCTTTCCTTTCCTCTCCCTCCCCTCCGCCATCCTCCCCCATCCGCCACCCCTTCCCCTAACGCCCCGTGGTGACGTGATTGAAACTTGCCCAACCACCTACATCTACGCTGACGTCACGCCTTGCATATTGCACTCAACGACCTCATTCGACTGGGACCCCTCCCTCCCTCTTCTCCCTCTCTTCCTTTCCCCTTCCCCTTCCCCCTCTACTTCCCCTTTCACCCTCTCCTCTTTACTTCTTAACTCCTCTTCCTCTTCTCCTTCTCCTTCTCCTCCTTCTTCTCCTTCTTCTGCTTTCTCCTCCTCCTCCTCCTTCATTTTTTTTTCTCCACCTCCTCCTCCTCCTCCTCCTCCTCCTCCTCCTCCTCCTCCTCCTCCTCCTCCTCCTCCTCCTCCTCCTCCTCCTCCTTCCCTTCCCTCGAACTGCCCCTTTCTGCAGATGATATTTATATTTGTTTAGCATCCTTTCTTTACTTTCTTCGGCCTCCCTTTTCCCTCTTTTTTGTCATCGTTTTCCGTTACTTTGAAGAGGCGAGGCGAGAGAGGGAGAGGATATATATATATATAATATATATATATATATATATATATATATATATATATATATATATATATATATATATATATATATATATATATATATATATATATATATATAATATATATATATATATATATATATATATAATATATAGAGAGAGAGAGAGAGAGAGAGAGAGAGAGAGAGAGAGAGATGGATAGATAGAGAGAGAGGAGAGAGATAGATGAATAGACAGAGATAGAGAGAGAGAGAGAAAGAGACAGAGATGGATAGATAAGAGAGATAGAGATTGATAATAGATAGAGAGAGAGATAGACAGATTGATAGATAGATAGAGAGAGAGAGATAGATAGATAGAGAGAGAGAGAGAGAGAGAGAGAGATAGAGAGAGAGATAGAGATTGATAGATAGATAGAGAGAGAGATAGACAGAGATTGATAGATAGATAGAGAGAGAGAGAAGAGAGAGAGAAAGAAAGAGAAAGAGAGAGAGAGAAAGGAGGCTGGGGAAGGCATTATTGATTTGGGGATGAAGAAGGTGCATGAATCAGCAGGTGCGAAAGAGGCAGATTTTTTTGTGGATATGGGAGAGGAGAGGAGAAGAGAGGAAGAGGAACTGGAGAAGAAAGGAAGAGGAAGAGAAGAGAGAAAGGGGAAAAGGAGAAGCGAAGAAGAGGAAGAAGGGAGGAGAGGAAGGTGAGGAAGGGGAAGAGGAGAAGAGATGAAGAAGAGGAGTAGAGAGGGAGTGGAGAGGGTGGGAGGAAGGGAGAGGAAAGAGTAATGGAGCGGAGGCAGGGAGAGGGTGTGAGGGAGGGAGGAACTGAAGCGGAGAGTGAAAAAGAGAGGAGTGTGTGTGTGTGTGTGTTGTGTGTGTGTGTGTGTGTGTGTGTGTGTGTGTGTGGTGTGTGGTGTGTGTGTGTGTGTGTGTGTGTGTGTGTGTGTGTGTGTGTGTGTTGTGTGTTGTGTGTGTGTGTGTGTGTGTGTGTGTGTGTGTGTGTGTGTGTGTGTGTGTGTGTGTGGTGTGTGTGTGTGGTGTGTGTGTGTGTGTGTGTGTCCGAGCACATAAAAAAATACATTCACGAGGGCTTAACAGTGTCATGGCCCACAAAGAATCTGCAGGTACCTACCTACCGTTCCTCCCTTTCAGCCATTTCGCTTCGCTCGTCTCTCCCTCGGCATCACCCTCCCCCCTTTCCTCTCTCTCCTCTCCCCTTCCTCCCTCCCTCAACATCTCCCCTCCCCTCCTCCTCTCTCTCTCCTTCTCCCTTCTTCTCAACCTGTCCCCCTCCCCTCTCCTCTCTCCTTCTCCCCTCCCCTCCTCTCCCCTATCCACTCTACTCCTATTCCTCATCTCTCTGTGTAGTGCCTGATCTGACCCTCTCCCTACCCTATCCTCTCCCTTCCCTAACCCCTGCCTGCCCCCTACCTTCCTATCCCTTACCCCCCCCCTTCCTTCCCTGTCCCCTACCCTCCCCCCTCCTTCCCTGTCCCCTATCCCCCTTACCCTTCCCCCCCTCCCCCCCTCCCCTGGCTTACCTGCATGCATGGTGTTTGGCAACCGAGCCGACAGGTGTCATTCGCCAGGTAGGGAACAGGATGCCATGCTTTGCCGCCTGAAATGTCATTAGGGACGGAATTGCTCTGTAAGGAATGTGTGTGTATGCTCCTTCACTCACTTCTTAACTGACGTAAATGTTCTTTTGATTGTTCGTTTGCTCACTCCTGCGCACACGAACGAGCGAACGGACGGACGAACGAACAAATGAACAAAAACAAAAGTCTCTCCTCTCCTCTCTCTCTCTCTCTCTCTCTCTCTCTCTCTCTCCTCACTCACTCACACACATCAAATGAATGAAAATAGCCGTTGAAACAGAGCCAAATAAAAAGGCGAGAGCTGCGTCCCTCAGCTGTAGAGTAACTGCATCCCAGATTATTATTATTATTTTCAATTTTCATTTTCGCGTTTGTAACTTTTGAACGCAACGAAATTCCCTCGGATAACGGACAGGGAGTGCGTCGTAAAGCGGGGAGAGGGAGGAGGGAAGAATGGGAGAGAGGGAGTGGAGAAGGATGGGAGACAGGGAGAGCAAGGGGGAGACGGAGGGAGGAAGAATGGGAGAGAGGGAGAAGGAGAGGGAAGGGGGAGATGGGGGAGAGGAGAGGGAGGGGGAGGAAGAGGGAAGGAGGGAGGGGGAAGGAGGGAGAGAGGAGAGAGGGGAGAGGAGAGGGAAGAGAGAGGGAGGGGGGAAGGATGGGAGGGGGAGAGGAGGGGGAAGGATGGGATAGAGGGAGAGCAAGGGGAGAGGAGGGAGAAGAATGGGAGGAGGGAGAGGGAAGGATGGGAAGAGAGGGAGAGTTTGGGAAAGGGAGTGGGAGAAGAAAGAGGTGAAGGACGAAAGAGAACGAATGGAGGGTGGAGGGAGGGAGTAGGGAGGATGGAGAGAGGAGGGGAAAAGGGAGGATAATGGAAAAGAATAGAGTGAGAAAGAATGGGAGTGGGAGAGGCAGAGGCAGAATAAGAGGAAGAAGGGAAGGAAAAAGGGGACGGAGAGGGAGAAGGAGAGTGGGAGAGTGGGAGAGGGAAGAGATAGACGAAGAAATGTAAAGAGGTGACGAGGAGAGAGTAAGAATTAAAAAAGAAAAGAAAGAGAGGAAGAAAGAAAATACAGTAAACGAAAGCACTGAGATAGAAGGTGATGTAATATCCTGCATAGACGTAGGAGGAGGGGAGGGGAAGAGAGGGGAGGGGAGGCGGGAAGGTGTGGGAGGTATCGGGATGTGTAGGCGGGGGGGAGAGAAGGGAGGGGGGAAAAGAAGGGAAGAGGGGGGAAGAGGAGGGTAGGGAAGAGGAGATAGAGGAGGGAGAGAAAAGAGAGGAGAGGGGGGAGAGGAGGGTAGGAAAGAGGAGATAGAGGAAGGAGAGAAGGGAGGGGAGAGGGGAAGAGAGATGAAGGGAGGGGAGGAGAGGCAGAAAGGTGTGGGAGGGATGGGGATGTGTAGGGGGGGATGGAGGGGGAGAAGAGAGGGAAGAGGGAGCAGAGAGGGAAGAGGGAGCAGAGGAGGACAGGAAAGAGGAGATAGAGGAGGGAGAGAAGAGAGGAGAGAAGAAGGTAGGAAAGAGAGAGAAGAGAGGTTAAGAGGAAGGTGTAAAGAGTAGCGAAAGAGAGGGGCAAAAGGGAGGGGAAAGAGACGGGGGTGGTGGTGCTGTGGTGGTGGGGGGGGGAAGGTAAAAAATGTCTTGTTGAAGGTGATATCGCCTTGTGAGGTGTTTTGTACGCAGTGGAGACCGTGGGAGAGGTGTGGGGCGTGTTGACTTGATTAGCATATTGCCCCGGGGGAGACTTCGGCGCCCCGGACCGAGAGTTTCTGGGGATTTTATTTATTTGTTTGTTTTATTTATTTTATTTATTTTTTGTTTTTATTTATTTTTTATTTGTTTTATTTTGTCCTTTTTTGAGT